CCTCCAGCGACCGGTGCTGCTCGACCCTCGCGCCAGCGTGGCAGTCAGGGCCGAGAGCGGGGGTGCAGAGGGAGGGGGACGACCGGTGACGAGCGTTTGGAGGTCTCGCGTCGCAAAGCGAGCAACGCAACCGGCGCTGAGGATTCGGACTCGTTGGAGCAGCTGCAAGTCCTCAGGGTTCGGTTCTGCTCTGTTTAGGCTCGCGTGGCATGCGCTGCCCCACCAGTGGAGTGAAATGAAATTGAGGCGGAGCAGGAGGAGGAGGATGACCAGTGCAAACCCAAGACGCATCAACGATGCTGCAATACACGCTCCCTCCAAGTTCCCTCTTCATAGGTCCCTGCGATATTTTTTCACTGCGGGGAATGGCCCATTGCAAGACAACCGTTCGAGAATTTTCAATCGTGCCAACACACGTTTCCTGGGATTCTATCGCCGCGAATCCACCTGACCGTTGCGCCATGGTAATCTTAAACCGAGCCAGAATATTGTTCTTGGGACTTGACTACGAATTCATGTGACTGGTGCGTCCTGGCAATCCTGAATCGTGATAGAACACAAATGCTTGGGACTTCAATTATACGAATCCGTCAACCTGTTGCAGACTTTGAAGGCGAATGTGCGCGGCACTGTGGCGAGCGCCACACGTTGAAAAGCACTCACCAACCATTCTTGAACCGGTTACATTCAAGACGGCTGGGCGTGGCGCTAAGGCGGGAACCAATCTCTGAAAAACAACCGCCATCCATCCTTGAAGCTGTTGCATTTTTTCAGACGACAGTGGGTTGCGCTAAGGCGAGAGCATTTTGAACAGGACACGCTCTATATCTTCGAGCCTGTTGTAAACGTTTGAAGTCAATGTGCGCTGAGCTGACGCGAGATCCACATTCAAACAACCACCCGCCCACCATCCTTGAAACAGTTGCATACTTTTTATCACGAATGTGCGCGGCGCTTTGACGAGAGCCACATTTTGAGCAGCACCTTCCCTGCATCCTTGAAACTATTTAGAATTTCACGCTTCAGGGCCACACATGATGAGGCGGTCTGAGGCGCGAAACGCCTGAGCCGCCCTACCAACACGCCTGGGGGTGCGACAGGGAGGGCTTATCTAGAAGGAAACGGAACGGAGGAGGAGGAGGAGGAGTGAGTGAGTGACCCCAGTCGCTAAGCGACATCCGACGAATCACGAAGCCCGCCGCGTCTGCTTCGCCTTGCTCTGGACCTTCGGCCACTGGCCTGCAGCGATTCGAGACAAGTATTTGGACCTGGCGAATTTCGCGGTCTTGAGGCATTCCTGCCCTAGACCCTTCAACATCTGATTGGCAAAACAACCGCACCGACTGCAGAACCAGAGCTTCAAAGTGCCGTGCAGTGTTAGTAGATGTGTATGATGTGCCAACTCTCCCGCTACGTGCAACCTGACTCCATACGGGACCCTGAAAAATTCACCATACGCATGGACAGGGTGAAAACAGGGAGTGTCTCTCCAAAATGATTGCTTAGCTATGGTAGCGGAGCTGCAACATCTAACACACCGTCGCCCAGTTTCATCTAACTGGTGAGTGGTGGTGAAAGTTTGGATGGCAGAGAGAGCAGGAGGAGGGGGAGGGGGTGGCTCACCTTTCTTCCTCCCCAGAGGCTCCAAGCGTTTCTCGGCTTCCAAGGTGTCGAGCGCGGCGCGGAGCAGGCGCAGCCTGATGAGGTGGACCTTCTGCTCCCACTGCTTCGCTCGAACTCTTTCTTCTGAACTCACCTGCACACGACTAGCTGCCGAACCTGCTAGAACATCCGCCACAGCATTCCCCAAGACCATCCACAAAGGAAACTTCCCAGAGATGGCCCCGCGGCCCCCCAGATGTGAGTTGACGACCAGGACCACAAAGGAGGCTGGGTCCCTGTCGGACTCGAAAAGCAGTCCGAGTCGGTGCCAAAGATCGGCGTCGGGTCCCGAGGGCTCACGGTATTGCTTGCAAGCCCAGCGTTCCGCTACGTATTCATTGTCTGTGAGATATATATATATATATATATAGATACACATATATATATATATATATATATATATATGTATATGTACCACCCGTCCTGAGGAACATGTAGCTGCTATCAGAAGCGCCCGCAGTTCTCCACGCGAACCTGACTGCCTATCCCCTGCGAGCCTTCCTGACATCGAGCTCGCAATCTCCAGATGTTCGAAGCAACCCAGACGACCGACTGACAACCCAACTCGTCGATAGCGCGTCTGCCCCGACGGCTCTCCTCCGCTGGCATCTCCAAACAGGACAATTTGGGACTCCCGACATCCGTGCACAAAAGACCCCGTAGACGAAATCTCTCCAGCAGTTTGCCAGTGATCCTCCGCTTGAGGGGGAGAAACCTGGACTAGATGGGACGGAAGGAGCCCACGCAGCCAGAGACATTCGGTAGCCTTCCAGCTAGAATAGGCCTCTCCCACCAAGCAATCCGAAAGTTTGTACACCGCCGCATCCACGTTCTTGCAGCAACCCCACGTGCGATGTAATGGGGTCTCTGGGGCTTCATGGATGAGGAGCGGGAGGAAGAGGAGGAGGAGGAGGGGGAGGAGGGGAGGAGGAGTGGGAGGAGGAAGGAGGAGGATGAGGAGGAGGAGGAGGAGGAGGGATGCATAGGAATAGAAAACGGTGGGGGAGGAACAGGAGGAGGAGGAAACATGACGATGGTGACGAGCATGATGTGGATATTGTGGTTTGTGGTGGTCATGGTGATCATGTTGGTGATGAACATGACGATGTTGATGATGATGATGATGATGATGATGATGCTGATGATGCTGATGATGCTGCAGATGATGACATTGATGATGATGATGATGATGATGATGATGATGATGCTGGTGGTAATGCGGTATTGGTGATGCTCTTGTGGATGATGCGGATGATGCTGCTATTGATGATGTTGATGAGGATGATGATGCTGGCTGATGCTGATGCTGATGGTGATGCTGATTATGATGCTGATGCTGCTGCTGATTATGATTCGGATGATGCTGATGATGCTGATTCTGGTCATGGTGCTGACGATGTTGATGATGCAGATGGCGATGATGTGTTGGCGGTGGTGATGGTGATGGTGATGCTGATGATGATGTTGATGCTGGTGATGATGCTGAAGCTGGTTAGGACGATGATGCTGATGATGCTGATGATGGCGACGATGGTCATATTGATGATGATGATGATGGTGATGACGATGATGATGATGCTGATGCTGATGGTGATGCTGATGGTGATGATTATGGCAATGGTAATGCATAGTTCGATCATGCTGATGCTGGTGCTGTTGATGAAGCTGATGGACATGCTGATGATGATGACGATGATGGTGATGACGATACTGATACTAATGATGACTATGACGATGATGATCATGCTGCCGATGATGATGCTGATGATGATGGTGATGATGATGATGCTGACGATGCTGATGCCGATTATGATGCTGATGCTGATACTGTCGATGATGCTTATGACGAGGACGCGTATGAAGCAGTTGTCGCTCGGGACTATGATGACGATGATGACGATGATGATGGCGAGGTTTAGGATGGGGATGATGACGATGATGACGATGCTGACGATGATGCTGCTGCTGATGATGCTGATGATGGAGAAGACTCATAATACTAACATGGATAAGAAGGTGATGCTGCAGATGACGATGATGACGATGATGCTGCTGCTGCTGCTGCTGATGATGATGATGATGAGGTGGTGGCGGATGAAGGGGGATGGGCAGGGGGATTGGAAGGAGGGAAGGAGGAGGGGGATGAGCAGGAGGGGTGAGGGGAGCAGGAGGAGGAAGAGGAGGTGGAAGAGGTGGAGGAGGATGAAGAGGAGGAGGAGGTTAAAGAGAAAGAGGAAGGAGGACAAGTCCTTAGACTTCAACGCCGGGGATCAACGTGACTGATGCGCCCTGGTAATCCTAAATTGTGCCAGAACGCCATTCCTGGGGTTTTGCCACCGCGAATGAAGGTGACTGTTGCGTCGCGACAGTCCTGATTCGTGCCAGACAAACAGTTCCTGGGATATTGGCCATACGAATCCCGGAGAAGCTGTCGCAAGCTTCTCAAGACGGATGTGCGCGGCGCTGAGGCGAGAGCAACACTTTGAGCCCGTTGCGAACCTCTATTGGGCGAACGTTGTGCGCGGCGCTCGGGCGAGAGCCACGTTTTGGACAGCCACCCGCCCACCATCCCGGAAACTGCTTGATGGGCTTGTTTTCCACCACCACCACCATAAGTTGGAGTGGGAGAGGGTCCTCCTCCCTCCTCCTCCTCCTCCCCCCTCCTCCTCCTCCTCCTCCTCCTCCTCCTCCTCCTCCTCCTCCTTCCCCCCTCCAACTTATGGTGGTGGTGGTGGTGGAAAACAGGCCCGTCACTGCTGCAAACTTTGATCACGAGCCTGCGCGGCGCGACGGCCAGAGCCACAGTCGAGGCGGATTGGTAGGTCGACCCTGCCAAATCAAGGGTACCCTTGTGTCCTGTCTTTCGCGACCCATGCCTTCTGCATTCTCATGGCAGCGTGGCCCTCGGAGGGGTCTTGTCCTGTCGCGTGTCCTCTCCATTCAAGCCCGACTGTACATGTTCAACACCGCTCGACCTCCATCCGTGACACTGCTGCAACTTCAATGTTCAGAACCTTACGCTGTGAGGAGGTCTCAGGCGAAACGCCCGGCCCGTCCTACCAACACGTCTGGGGGTGCGGCAGGGAGGAGCTATTCAGAAGGACGAGGGATGGAGTGCGAGGAAGGGGGAGGAAGAAGGGGGAGGAGGAGGGGGATGAGCAGGAGGAGGATGAGGAGGAGGATGAGGAGGAAGAAGAAGGAAGTGGAAGGAATGAGGAGGGATGAGGAAGGAGGACGGAGGAAGAAGAGGAGGAAGCAGGAGATGTTGGACGAGGAAGGGAGAGGAGGAAGGGGGAGGAGGGAACTCGCGGTGGTGCGCCGGCTGGGCGCCGGCCCAGGTATCCTGGTGGATATCCCCCGTCCTACCCGAGCTATGGGGCGCCGCCAGCGCACGCCGCTCAGCTTGGCCACCGTTCAGCTCTGCTTCGTGCTTTCCCGACGGCGGCGACGACCTCCCCTTCCCTCTTGCCTATCTTCCCTTCTCCTCATTCCTCCTTCTACTCTCCCCCTTCCTCACTCAAATCGGATGCGTGGTTGCCGTCTGGGCTCAAAGGCTGGCGCGACAACCTTTCGTTGTTGAGAGGGACAAGTGCCGCTCCACATCCGTAGCGCCGCCATGCTGTTTCTCTCTCGCATCCCCCCCCGCAATTCCAGTTGGCAGCGGAGCTGTGGGAGCGATCCCAGCCCGCGGTCCACGGAAGACGCGCAGAGTGCGATGTGGACGCGCCTTCGCAATTCTCTCATCCTCCACCACTGGTGCAACCACAACCCTCCACGACCTGAACAGCTTTTGTTCTTGCCTGGTCTGCAACCTCCATTGGAGCTCGTCCACCGAGCCCACGGGCGCGACGAGGTCAAGGCCGACGACCGCATCTGACCGTGCGAGTGTATCGTCTCTTGGGGGGCAGGTGGCCCAGTGCATGTGCAAACCGGCCCCAGTAAACAGCGTTGCCTCGCCTTCTTCACCACAACTTTTCTTGACGCTTCGCGAATATCCACAACTATTCGCGACGCTTCTGGCTCAAACTCCGTACCCCCCTCCGGCTCAAACCGCGGGCCGACAGGAGGCCATTGCCCTTACCATATATATATATACATACCCCTACCATTTTCGGTATTGCTTGTTTTTTCCGCACACGCATTTCTGACATGAGCGCGTGGCATTCTGGCGAGGCTTGGTCAGAACGGCAGCCACAACAAGGTTGGCACAGTCATGGTTGAATAGTCAGCACGGTCCCCCGGATGATATTCAGCGAAGTTGGCACAGTCGTGATTGCCATAGTCAGCGGGGCCGCGAAGGCGATGATGCCATCTCAGTCCAGGCAACCCGCTGCGCGAGACAGCGTGCGGCTCGCCAGCGAACAGGTCATGCAGCTTCTCGGACGGGCCCAAAAGGTGTTGCTTCGGCGGCCCCGCTCGCAGCCGACCCTGCCCCAGCTTGCGAGCCCGAGGTGGTCGCCTTTCTGTGCAAATTTGGGCTCGGCGTGTATGCGTCGAGCTTTGCCGAGCATGGTTTCGAGCGTATGGCTGAAGTGCGGCTTGTGAGCAATCAACGCATGTGCGATGTCGGCGTGAAACCTGGTCATTGCGTGCGTGTCGATTCAGCATTGGGCCAGCAGGTTGCGACTACTGGGCGGGGAATGTGTGTCGAAGCTCTGCAGCCTCCTGCTGCGCTCTGCGTCCCGAGCTCTTCCTGGCCTCCTGCGCCGCCAGGCGGAGAGACGCGCTGTCCGCTCACTGGGCCTCGCGCGTCGCTGGGGCCGTCGGGGCCTGGTTGGCCTGGCGCTGACCCCCCGTGTCATGTGACGGTCAGTCGCCTATCTGGGGATGACTCGCAGAGAGCATTTGCGACGATCAGTCGCCTACCTGGAGATGATGCCCCCTTCCCTCCCCCCCTCCCGTTGCTCAGCGTAAACGTGCCTCGACCAGTCGCCTGCGCGGGGGAGACTCACGCAGGACGCTTGCGACGATCAGTCGTTTACCTGGGGATGAATCAGAGAGGACACTTGCAAAGATCAGTCGCCTGCCTCCTCCCCCCGTTTCCCGCGGTAAATTTGCGATGATGAGTCGCCTGCCTGGGGGAGATTTGCACAGGGCGCTTGCGACGACCAGTCGCCCACCTGGGGACGCAAAGGACCCTTACGACGATCGTGCGCCCATCTGGAGATGACGGCCCTCCTGCGGAGGAGGCGGGGGAGAGCGGCGCTGCGCAGCCGTTGTCCTGGGGCGTGCGAGGCTCCTGTGCGCCGTCGGCCGTCGCCGGTTGTCCTGGCGCGAGCGCGGCTTGCCCTCCCGCCGGCGAAGCCGACGCCGACGCGGCCGACGCCGAACGCGCCGGCGCCGACGACGACGCCGACGCTGGCGCCGACGCCGACGCCGACGCCGACGCCGACGACGACGACGACGCCGACGCCGACGCCGACGACTCGAGGACAGAGCAGGCGGCGGGGCAGAAGCCAGGGGCGCCAGACGAGCAGGAGCAGGCGATCGCCCACCCACGCACTTCCTCGACTGACCCTCCATCCCCGCGCGGCCAGTGCCTCGACAGAGACTTGGAGGACGCGCGGGGCCCCCTGGCAGAGCCCCGCCACCCGTGCCGACTGGCGCCGACTCCGACTTCGACGCCGACGCCGACGCCGACGCCGACGCCACCGCCGCCGACGCCGACGACGACGCCGATGCCGACGACGCCGACGCCGTCGGTGACGCCGACGTCGACGTCGACGCCGACGCCGACGCCGACGACGACGACGACGCCGACGCCGACGCCGACGCCGTCGATCTGGGGACAGCGCGGGCGTTGGAACAGAAGCCGGGGGCGCCAGACGAGCGGGGGCAGGCGACTGCCCACCCGCGCACTTCCACTGGCCCTCCAGCCCGTGGCAGCGACGCTCGGGCGGACGCGCTCCACCCTGACGCCGCCCTTCCTGCAATAGTGCGAGTACCAGTGCCAAGTGGCGACGGCGCTGCTGACAGCGCGCGACGCTGGCGCGTCTGCCTGGAAGCGGCTGGACACCGGGCCTGGCCACAGAAAAATTGGCGATATTCCAGCGCCCTCAGCGCCCGCGGAGCGGTGCCCAGTGCCCGGCCACGTCGACGGCCTGGTGGGGTCTGACAGGCGGCAGACGACCGACGACGCCGACGATGACGCCGACTCCGACGCCGGCGCCGACGCCGACGACGACGACGACGACGACGCCGACGACGCCGACGCCGACGCTGACGGCCTGGGGACAGGGCAGACCTTGGAACAGAAGCCAGGGGCGCCAGACGAGCAGGAGCAGGCGACCACCCTCCCGCGCGCTTCCTCGACTGACCCTCAAGCCCGCGGCAGCGAATCGCGGGCAGATGCATTCCATCCTGACGCCGCCCTCCCCCGCAACAGTGCGAGTCCCAGCGCCGTGGAGCGACGGCGCTGTGGCCAGCGCGCGCCGCTGGCGCGTCTGCCTGGAAGCGGCTGGACACCGGGCCTGGCCCCGAGAACCGGCGATCCTCCAGCCCCCTCGTCGCCCGACGGCCTGGCGGGGTCTGGCGGGCGACAGGCGACGGGCGGCGAGCGCGGCGGCAGCAGTAGCAGCAGCGCTTGGAACCATCGAGCCGCCGCGCCCGACGGGGGCGGGTGGCGCGCCGCCCGCCGGCGGCCTGGGCCCTCGGATCCTTCGGCGGAAGAGCAGCTTTGCAAAGTCAGGATCGAATGCGCGCAGCGGGGTGTTTGCGGGGGGGGCCCAGGCAGAAATATCGCGCGACTCCAAGTCGCCCTGGGAGCGATGTTCACGGGCGCCCGTCGCTCGCTCGCCCATCCGGAGGAGCAGTGCTCGACCGCTCGGGCACGACCAGCAAACGCGCGTCAGCTCCTTGGGCCCCTTCCGCCATCACAAAGAGGGCGCGCGGTCCATGGGCGACGCGCTGCGCCTCGGGGTTGACTGGAAACAGCTGCGCGGGCGGTGCCTGTGGCGTGGCGATGGTGCGGGTGAGGAAGGCGATGCCCCGCCGCGGAGACAGGCGCCCTTGGCCCAGGCTGGCGGCCGCGCTCCAGGACGGCCGCGAAGCCCGGGGGAGGAGCGTTCCTGGGCCTAGCGTCACTTCCCCTCATGTTTCCTGGTGTTTTCCTGTATTCGGTTCCACTGTCCATGTTGTTGTTGCTGCAGCGATCAGGTGTTCCTGGGGTTCACCGTCGCCTTCCATCCTGTCCTCCGTGCGTTTGCAGCGATCAGCTACCGCTCCTTATCGTCCCATGTTCCGTCGCCGTGCATTTGCAGCGATCAGCTGCTCCTGGGTCCTGTCCTCCGTGCATTTGCAGCGATCAGCTGTCGCTCCTCGTCATCCCTTTTTCTGTCACTCGTGGCCCTGTTTCGCAGCTCGCAGCCGACCCGCGGCAGCCCAGCGCGTGCTACCATTGGTCGCGCTGCAGCTCCTGGTCGGCGAGAGGTGGCCCCTCTCCCTGCTCGGCATATGCAGTCAGTCTGCTTGTGCTTGCCCTCGCCTGGGGGCATCTGACCTCCCCGCTGGAGGGCGCGGGGCGGCCGCGGCCCGGCCCGTCCCGCTTCTTCCTCGCATTCGGATTCCTCGGGGAAGCCCCGTGGCGGCCGTGGCCCGTCCGTCTTCCGTCCCTTCCTTGCGGTGCTTGTCTCCTGCGCGACGGCGTTCATCTGCGCGTTCTACGCGGTGCCTGGGGCCCGTTTTCTTTTACGTCTGCGACTCGCCCGCCGTTCCTGTCTTCTTCGGTGCCTACGCTACTCCTGCTGGTCCGTTCGCTGTTCTACGTCGTGGAGTCCCACTGGGACCTATGCTTCGTGAATCGTTGGCCCGTTTCGTCCTTTTTCTTCGTGGCACCGCCGTTCTGGGTAAGTGTGGCGTTCCGTTCTTTCGTCGCAAGTGGGGCCGCTCCTCCTGCTTCTGTGTCCATTTCGACACCTGCATGGGCGTGTTCCAGGTGCCGCTTCGAGATGCCGTCCGCTCCTCTTTGGCGGCGCTGAGCTCCGTCCCGCTCTGTGCGTGGCGTTGTTCACCGTTTTGTTTTTCCTTTAGCCTGTGGCGCGGCCCGCGCCTGCCTGCGCGGCGTTCGACTCGCTTCGCGCGCCCGCGAATTAGAAAAGTACCCCCGCCAGCCCATCCAGAAACGATGCCCGTGACAGCTGTCGGCGGGGGAGAGGAAGAGACACGCGTAGTCAACGCGGCGAGGAGGCCGGCCGGCTGAAGTGACGCGCTTGGTCGAACAGCGTGGGAATGCTGATCCTCCTGGGGAGGCTCCGTGGTCATCTCGAGCCGTCTTGGAGCGGTCTTGGGGCCTCGTGCAGCATTTTGGGGGCCACATTGGTCCTGTTTGGGCTCTCTTTAGCCGTGTCGGAGGTCATCTTGGTTTCTCTGAGGCCACTCGGGGGCCTGCTGGGGGCCTCTCAGGGGCCTCTTGGAGCCCTCTTGGGGCTTCCTGGGGCGCTCGTGGGACCCTCTTGGGGCCTTTTGGGAGCCCTGGAGGCCTTTGGGGGCCATCTTGGAGGCAGTCGGTCAAAAGAGGGGGGTGCTCGATTTGCGCCCCTTCCTCGGGGGCCACGATCTCCGTGGGGGATTTGAGAATGGGGCCTCCCACGCGCCGAAAAAGGAACCTCCGACACCTCGCGACCCCTCCCTACAAAAAACCAAGGGATGGGAAGGGGGGGGGGCTCCCTTCCCCGAAGGTAAGAGAGGTTGTGGAGGAAAGAAGAGATCAATTCGCCCAAAGGGCTGGTGGCATTTCTTGGCATCGGTTGTGGGGCGCTGTGCCACGCGACTTGGCCAGTGCTTGGTTTCGCATTGGGCGCGCTTGCGCTGGCTGTCATCTTGCTCAGTGCGTTGTGCAGTCCGAATGGCTTCAAGCCGGTTAAAGTGCTTGTTCCACCACCCTCGGTCATCATCAAGGGTCCCAGTATTGCAACAACTGTTCCAGGTGTCAAGATGGCTCTCGTCCCCGTGCAGGCCCGAGTCCCAAGGCGCCACGGCAACGACGACGGTGTTGTACACAGGGGGATCTTCAATCAGGAGTTACTGGGGAGTGTCCTCATCCCCTCCGTGATAGCCTTGCTGTGGCTCGTCTGGATGTTGCTTGAGGGAGCTGGGCAGCCAGGTGGAGGCGGCGGCTGAGGAGGCAACGCGCGTCAGCCACCTGCCTGGTCGCCTGAAAGGCAGTCCGCCTACGGGTTTCGCCAGTGGGCGCATGACTTTCTCGCGTGGGGCGCACTCGCCACAGACTGGCAGCGGTCAGCAGTGCGCAGCCGTCATCTTGAACCTTGTGGTTCTGCCCATGAACCCACGCGTTCCTTGAGCTGCGCGGAGATAGCCGAAGGCGGCTTATTTGACGGCCAACCCGAAGATGCCGCCACCGGCCTCGTAGCGATTCTTGCGAGTCACTTCCGACCACCGAGGCACGCCTACAAGCTGCGCGGGAACTCTGCGAGTTCTTGGGGTGGCGCAGCGAGACTACCGACGCGTTGCTCTAGCGGTTCCTCGTGGTGCGATTCCGAGCGACGCACGAGGCTGCAACTGGCTGCTCCTCCGCGACGTCGGCGTCGCGGCCAGCCAGCGCACGGCGCTGCCCCGGCCCGCCAGCAGCTGGTGCCTCGCGGCCGAGCCTGGGCTCAACGTTCTCTCGGCGATAATCAGTCGCGTGGGCTATGTCCTTGAGCGCGGTCCCAACGTCACCCATCGCTGGCGTCCTCCGTGCGCCGCAGCTCTTCGGAGAGATTTCGCAGAGGCGACCAATGGCGACAGTGACTATGGCGGCGCGCGCCCGGCATGCCCCTGACGCGAGCATGGCTCGACCCCTGTGCTGCGATCGCCGCGGAACTCCCAGGTGCCGGTGCTGCCTTTGCCCGCGCCGGCAGCTCTCAACCGAGCGCCGCCGCTCCGCAGGCAGCATTCTCTGCCGCCCGGTGGTGGCCCGATGATCAAGGTCAGGCCTGCCGCGGGCGCGCAGGTGGCGCTTCCGACGCCGGCTCAGACATGCGGGCATCTGTCGGCTATTCGTCGGATCAGTTCAGAGGCCTATCCCTGGCCCAGATCGACGCCCAGCTTGTCTGGCAGATGACGCACCACAAACAAACATGAACGAACTCACCAGAAAAGTCATGCGATTCATCGAGAATAGTTGACGGTCGTGTAAGGGCAACGTTTAAGGGAAAGGCAATGGGGACACGGAATTACAGCTTCCTGGCCCAGCTGATCGACGACCAAGTCGACGTCGTCTCCTACGGAGGCGACGGAAAATGCAAAATCGAAGGAGAGCGGCCCAGCGGCAAAGGCAAGGGCGACAAATGCAATTCTCACGGGTACAATTGGACGGCGACGGCGCGCAGCATCTGCGTTTCGGAACACCGCTCCAGAGCGGAATGCCCACCTGTTGGCTCTGGAAGTCCAGGTGCCCAAGGAGGTGGCCCGAGCTTCGGAGGCCGCGCCGACTCGGGGCCTGTCCGTGGCGCCCTGGTTGCTGGATCTTTCTCCAGCATACTTGGAATCCCATTCGTGGTCGCCGAATCTCCCCCCGCTGCAAACAGGGCCCAGTCCGTCTCCAGTGCCACCTACTTCCGAGGGCTCCTGGCAGATGCCCGAGTCAGTCCATGGTTTTTTGGTCGGCAGCGTCGCTGACCACCGCCCAGAGATGCGGTTGCACCGGCGCGCCTGCCATGCCGCCAACACCTCCAGTGCTCATCACTTCACTCCCTCGCTAGGGCCCCAACAGCCGGGGCTTCCGCCGTTCCCAGGCTTTGTCCCTGCGGCTCCAGGACCGGGGCCGCCAGCGAGCATGTCTCGCCCTACAGCCTACACTGCTCCGCGGGCTCAGGCTCCACGGGGGTCCCGCGAACTCACCCTGATAGATCAACGGTGCAGCGTGGGGGCCTCGATTGAGCTGGCTGGGCCCCGGCTGGGCGATTCGCTGTCCTTCATGACCAGCGAGCCAACGTTCTCCGCGCGGGCGGATTCAGCCTGCTCGCCAGTCGCCAGCGCGCGCCCACCGCCGCGCCCGCCGCCGCGAGCGGGCCCGCCGCCGCGCCCGCCGCCTCGCCGCCGCCGCGCCCACGGCCGCGCCCACCGATGCTCAGATGAGGCAGCGCGGCGCCCGCCGGAGCGTGCCTGGCAGACGATCGGCCTCGCCGCGACGGGGCCGCCCGCCGCTGCTCCGCCGCCTCTGCCCGAGGGCCTGCGAGCCGATTCGCGACCTGTGGCGCGGAAGGGGGCGGCGACGCCATGCCTTCCGCCTTCACCTTCCATGCCTTCCGACCTCCGCGGAGGGCGCGGAAGAGTTCCTCGAAACCCATGGAAGCCTTTTTGGCACAATACGAGGAAGCCCACGTCGATCACATCGAAAGCTGGGGGGAAAGTCGGGGCGGAAGTTCCAGAAGAATGAGGGGGAGGGTGTGCGGTACAGTGGAGGCCCATGCCAAGAAACGCCCTGTTTGCCTTCAGGGTTCCCTGGGTGTCTTGGGTTTCGATGGTTTTGCGATGGAGAGCGTGGCGTCCCCACACCAAGAATCAATGGACGTCCTGGGGTCTCAGGGTTGGGTTTCTTGTGGACTGGCCTCCACTGTGGTTGTCTGGACGACAGCCTCCAGCTCGACCTGGCTGTCATCCTGCAGCGCGGCCATCCGTGCCATCGGAGTTGTGCCGGCCCCCAGGCCGCTGGCGCAGCTGCGATGGAGCCGATGGCGTCGGTGGCTTGCGCATCTTATCGGAGGCGACGATAGGTGCGAATAGCCCGGGGGGGGGGGGGCGATACGTGCATCCAGGGGTGCCGATGATCTATGGCTTCGACAAGGCTCCCGGGCGAATGCGTGCAGTGCCCGCCCCTGGGCTGTTCGCCCCTGTCGTCGCCGCCGATCTTAGGATGCGACGCTTGTGAGGTCAAATGCAGCATCGGCGCTGTTACACTTACGTCGGGCGTGTCCCTCTACAGGAGGGATGCCCCAAGATAGTTAAAACAATTGTATGGGGACGATGCTTCTATTCTGTTATTTTGTTTGACAATGTTGAAAGTTTTCCCTGGTTTTTGTTGTGACTATCTTTCATGCTTCTGCCAAAATTCGCCTGTAGGGGAACATTCCCGACCTACTGGTACACCAGTGGTTGAAAACTGGTCTAATCTGGCATAGTCCCGCTTAGTCCCGTCTCATCCCGCCTGATGTGGCCGAGTCCCCCGCTGAGTCTGGCATAGTTTGGCGCAGTGGCCCCGTGCTCGGTCTTAAGAGCCCCTGCTCATTCTTACCTGGGAGGTGCTCCCTAATGAGTTCTAGGCCTAGATGGGGTCCGAGTAGATGGGGTCGGAGGATCGCGCCGCATCGCCGATGCATCGCCGATGCATGGCCGACTCATCGCCGATGCGCCGCCGATGCATCGCTGATGCAGCTCGATGTGGAGCCTGATTTTCACCACGCCGATGGCGCCGTTGCGTTGTCGACGTCGCCCGATGCATCGCCGACGTATCAGCGATGCGGCGCGATCCTCCGACCCCCTCTGCTCGGACCCCGTCTGTGCGGCACAGAGAAGCCGGGTCGTCTGCGCCGACACTGGCGCGCAAGTTGCCCGCGTGAGGTCGCACGTGAGCGCCCTCGTCCCCAGCAGAGCGTTCCTCGCTGGCGGCCCGCGCAGGCCGCGGCGCAAGAAGGTCGCGGTGCCCTCTCGCGTAAGACCTCGTTCTGATCGCCTTCTTTTTTTGATCGTCGCTCCTCTGCACGGCCTCCCGTGGATCGTGTCGCATCGCCATTCTCCCTCCGCCCCCCCCTGCTCCCGGGGAGCGCTGCGCCCGCCAAGGTACGGCTACGGGCACCACCCGGGCTACGGCCCACCGCCGCCCGGGTACGGGCACCCCGGCCACCGCGACAGGTCGCGGAGCCGTGGGCGCGACCGGAGAGACAGGAGCGAGCCAGCCTCGGGGGTTGGGAGACGGGGGCCAGTGCAAGCGGGCGTCCGTCAGAGCGCCGGATTTTGCTGGATCCTTCAGGGCCAGGGTCGCACTGGCCCGGGCTTGGGTGCATGGCAGGATCCTGGAGGATCTCTGCAGGATCCGGCAGAGCCTGGCTGACCCGGGCCTGGATGGACCCGTGTCAGTAGATCCCCGGCGGCCACGCGCAGAGGGGGGAGGGGGAGGGGGAAGGGCTTGTTAGAAGCACCCCCGCTTCTTAAAAAGCGCGGGCCTGCCTTATTTGTAGATGCGGGGCCGGTGCCTTCGAAGAAGCAGCCTCCTGCTAAGAAGCCCTCCCCCCTCCCCCTACCCCCTTGTGCGCGCCTTCAAAGGAAAGGAGCAAGACCTCCGCGACGGAGGGAGCAGCCAATGAAGCGCAAGCATGGATCGAAGCGCGTAGATTCGCGACGGGTCCCGTTTCCATACCAAGGTCGTCGCGCTCCGTCGCCAAAGCTGACGGCATTTGCCCCATGTTGACGGGGTGCGTTTCCCGATTCGCGGATCTGGTGCCTGCGCGCCAGATCCACGCATTTGGAATCCATGTCAGCGCGCGCCCAACAATCGTTCCAGAGTGCTCTGGAACGCTCTCAGAGCATTCCAGAGCGTTCCAGAACGGCTGCGTCGCCCAACACATCCTTCATATTTGCTCGCTCGCAGAGGTTCCCGATGCAGCCTCTTCCGGATTCTTCCCCAACCATCCTGTGTTATCGTTGCCCTCCCCTGTCCTCCCACCACCACCACCACCGTCCTTATCATCATTCTCACCCCCCCCTCATCATCACCATCATCACCATCATAATCAGCATCATCATCACCATTATCATCACCATCATCATGACCATCACCATCACCATCAGCATCACCATCATCAGCATTACGATCATCACCATCATCATGACCATCATCATCACCATCACCCTCACCCTCACCATCACCATCACCATCACTATCACCATCACCATCACCATCACCATCACCATCATCATCATCATCATCATCATCATCATCATCATCATCATCATCATCATCACCATCATGATCATCATCATGATGATGATGATCATCATCATCATCATCATTTTCATCATCATCATCATCATCATAATCATCATCATCATCATCATCATCATCATCATCACTGCGCAGGGGAGGAGGGAGGGGCAGAAGGCCAGGAGAGGGTGGGGCTTGGCATAGCTCGAAGGTGTTTTTTTTGTTTGTTTTTCCTTTGCGAGGACCATCGAGGAGCATCTCCGATCGTCTGGCCAAACAAGCAAGTCCACGGGGAATGGACGTCCGAGCGATGGCAAGGGGGCGGGGGGGCCAGGAGAGGGAGGGGCGGGGAAGTGGCGCTGCTCCTCGATCCCCTCCCAAACTTCTGTGGGTGCTCCTCCTTGCGTGCCGTCGATACGACACAAACCTGCCGTGCAGTCAAAGCGCATGGTAAGGATGAGCACCTTTCCTAAGGCTGGCGGCCTTGCATCCTTGCCCCTTCGGCTCATCCCTGGCGGCTTCCGCTTGCCGGCCCCGTCCGGAGAACGTCGACACGGCCTTCCAAGGCCCTTGCATCCTTGCCGCGCATCCTGACTCTGCGTCTTGACCGCAGTCCAGAGCCGTGCCCACGTTGTCCGATCGCGTCCCGGCCAACCAGCCGCCCCGTGCCCTCTTTCCAGCAGCCGCCCGCCCCTGGCCGCCCGCCTCGCACGCCCCCCCCCCCCCCCAACCCTCCTCGCCACTCAGAAGCCTGGCGAAGGCTGGCAAATCCGCGGCTGCCAAAACGGAGCTCCTGGAAATTTGTTCTTCCTTCCGGGAAGCAGCCCGTTTTCTAGCTCGTGCGCTGAGCTTTCTTCTGGGGATCTGTCTTGTTTCCACTGGGAAGACCGTTTTAGCAGCCACGGATTTGCCAGCCCTCGCCCAGCCTCCGAGCCACGCTCCTCGCCCCCGCCCCGTTGTTGCTCCCCCCCTGAGATCCCGCGGCGCACCACCCAATTTTTTTTTCTAGCCAGGCGTTTCTTCCCGGATTTTCGGGCCCCTAGACCAGCCGAGGTCGGTCCAGTCTGAAAAATATGACCTGGGATTCAGTCGGGCCTGTCCTTCTACATTCAAAAAGAATCAAGAAATAGTCGGGGGACGATTTTTTTGAGTAGTTTTTATTTTTCGCCCAAAACCTGCCTGTAGGGGGACATGCCCGACCTACCTAGGAAGAGGGGCTCTGTCGGGCGGGCCTGGGACGAGGAGAAATCCGTTCCGGAGCGTTTCGGAGCTCTCTCAGAGTGTTTTGGAAGGCTCCGAGAGACATCCTCCAGAGCTGCCAGATCTCAGAGATTCTCGATGAGTCCTCGCACAATCTTACCCTCGTCTTGGGCTCCATCTTAGTCTGGGGCTCCGATCGCATTTTTTCGTGTTTTTTTCAATTGCGTCGGATCTCGGGGTCGCCCTCCACCGCTCCTGCTTGCCCTCCTTCACCTCATCACGGCGGGGTGAGATCCCTGAGGTCCAACGTTGCGAATCAAATGCACCATCGCAGAAGACACCACGACCAGAGCCATGTGCTTCGGTAGCAGAACATCGGAGCCTTGTATGCCCTCGTAGTTCCGTCTTCAGAGTTCGTCAGCATGCGCTAGCGTCTGGTAATCAATGGGAAAGCGCCGATCAGCGTCGATCACCGCCGATTTAGCCTTGATTTAGCGTCGATCAGCGTTGGTTAACGTCGGTTGCTGTAGCCAGCAAGATGGCAATGGAGGCCCCCATGAGCTGCCACAGAACTAGACCTAATCCTTCTGCGGCATTTTTCGAGCCAGATCGATCTGTGATGGTCCCGTTGCTTGAAACCCGGTGAAGACGCACGGTGAGAAAATGCAGCGCCTGGATCTCAAGGGGAGGGTGGAGGCCCCGCTCCCCCCCCGACGGCCTCGGCGTGAGGAGGGCGGGTGACCGTCCACGAAGGCCGTCGTCGTCGTTGTCGGCGTCGTCGTCGTTGTCCTCGTCGTCGTCGTCGTTGTCGTCGTCGTCGGCGTCGTCGTCGTTGTCGTCGTCCTCCTCCTCCTCGTCGTCATCGTCGTCGTCGTCGTCGTCCGCCGGGCGCGGAGGAGGGACGACGACGACAGGCGCGACAAGGCCAGGGGGGGCCAGCAGCGGCGCGACGTGGCGGCGCCGGGAGGCCGCGGCGCGAGCACGGAGGATGCCCCCCCCGTTCGAAGAAGAACACGCTGACTTCGATTCGACAGGTGGTCGTTCTCGAGGAGGAGGAGGAGGAGGAGGAGGAGGAGGAGGAGGAGGAGGAGGAGGAGCAGGGGGAGGGGGAGGGGGAGGGGAAGGAGGAGGAGAGAGAGGGAGAGGAGGAGGAGGAGGAGGAGTAGGAGGAGGAGAAGGAGGAGGAGGTGATCGTTTTCTTACTCATGTTTTGCCGACCGGCGCGGGCCCTCGCCCCCGCCCCCCCCCTTGGAGTAGATCTTGGCAGTTTTTGGCGCCTGTCTCAAGCAGGTGGAGTCTCCCCCATGGGACGCCCCTGGTGCACACAGTTGCATTAAGCAGAGGTCCAGAGCCAGACCACCCCCGTCCCCCCCCTTCCGCCTAATGTCGAAACGCCGAATGAGGAAACGTTCACCAGTTCGCGTGGATTTCTTGGATCGGCGTTGATGCCTCCCTGGCGGCGCCTCCGCGCGTCAGGGAGGAGCGCCCAGCGCTGATCCAGGAAGTTCGTGCGGACCGTCGAAAGTTTCTGTTTAGTCGGTTCTTTCTTCCTCTGCTCCTGGGTCTCCCCCTTTTTTGTTGCTGTTGCTGATTGTCGATCCCGAGCCTTTGGCGACCACTGTATTTTTCAATTAAAGTGCTCCTGCCAGGGCTCGCACCTTGCTAAAGATTATCCCAGAGCGACCCTACCTAGGAGTTGGAGCCCCGAGGAGAGCAATATTAGTAGTAACGGTAAACGCCGTCCTCCTCCTTCTCCTCATCGTCGCAGTTGTAGCAGTAGCGGTAGTAGTAGTCGTAGTCGTAGTCGTAGTCGTAGTAGTAGTAGTAGTAGTAGTAGTAGTAGTAGTAGTAGAAGTAGTAGTAGTAGTGGTGGTGGTGGTGGTGGTGGTGGTGGTGGTGGTGGTGGTGGTGGTGGTGGTGGTGGTGGTGGGGTAGTAGTAGTAGTAGTAGTAGTAGTAGTAGTAGTAGTAGTAGTAGTAGTAGTAGTAGTAGTAGTAGTAGTAGTAGTAGTAGTAGTAGTAGTAGTAGTAGTAGTAGTAGTAGTAGTAGTAGTAGTAGTAGTAGTAGTAGTAGTAGTAGTAGTAGTAGTAGTAGTAGTAGTAGTAGTAGTAGTAGTAGTAGTAGTAGTAGTAGTAGTAGTAGTAGTAGTAGTAGTAGTAGTAGTAGTAGTAGTAGTAGTAGTAGTAGTAGTAGTACGAGCGGAGTCCATAACAGACCCCTGGTCGTGCTGACGTTGTGTCATGGTGATGTGATGATGGTTGTTGATGGTTGAGGGTTGAGGGTTTAGGGTTTAGGGTTTAGGGTCCACTAGCCCAAACTTGCAGCCCACTTGACCGTGTCCCACCCACCCATGACCCAAGACATCTTGATCTCGATGCGGTATCAACACGCGACTCGCAAAACGACGACGAGGACGACACCGATGACGACGACGTTGATCTTGTTTTCAAAACGACGACGACGCGGCCGCGCAAAGACACCTGGGACGCGGCTGCAACGGCGATGCGGCCCGCGCGCGTGACGACGCGATTTGAAAAACCACGTTTTTTGACGCGAGTCCCTGTGCGATGCAGGGACGCCGCCCAGCGGCGGAGAGGTTGCACGCAAGATCCACGCTTATTGACGCGAGTCCCTGTGCGACGCAGGGCCCCCCGCGGTCGCCGTGGGCGCACCGCCCAGCCGGCCCGCGGCCGCCTGCGCCGCCGAAGGGTCGGCGCGCCACCCCGCGTCCGCCGGGCCGCCCTCCCGCGAGCTCGCAGAGGGGGGGCCGCAGCGCCCGCGGCCGCCTCGCCCGCCGCGGGGGCGCCCGGCGCCATTCCTGGCGCTCCGAGGCCAAGGATCTGCGAGAGGGGCGCACCCTGGGATTTGCAGATCCTCCCAGAACGCCATTCCTGGCGCTCCGAGGGCAAGGAGTGAGGGGTGCGCCAAAATGGGGGGGGCGGCCGAAGGAGGGACTTTAGGGTTTTTAGGATTTAAATTGTTATAAGCTCTTAGTTTCTACTAGGCGTGGCCACGAGTACAACGTGACCGCGAACCCACCTGCGGTGGCCGTCACTCCCACCCGCACGCCACCCCACCATAAAGATCATTTCTCCCCTAGTGAGAACCGCATCGAATACAGCGTCGACGACGACGACGACGACGGCGACGACAGATGTGCGATCGAGTGGGCACGCGAGTGCTGTAACGGGCGGGGCGAGTCGGGAAGGGCGGAAGAGGTGCTGCACGCATGCGCAGGAAAGGCTAGTCGGTGGAATCGGCGGATCGGGTCGCAACGGAAGGCACTTTGTATGGTAAAATTCAAGAGATTCTGCACGCGTGCGCAGGAAGTGTTATTTTTAGCCGTAGATGGAGCGGGTTTACATAAGAGGGGCGCACTTTGTGTTTTTTAAAATTGGAGATTCTGCACGCGTGCGCAGCAAATGATATTATTTGCAGTACATGTGGCCGGGTCGCGACGGGGACTGGGCACTTTGTGCTGTAAAAAAATAAGAAATTCTGCACGCATGTGCAGGAAATGCAATTTTTTGCAGGAGCTGGAGCCGGGTTGCATGGTGGCCGCTTTTATTGTAAATAGGGTTTAATAATAATTATAGGACTACTAGGCGTGGCCACGAGTACAACGTGACCGCGAACCCACCTGCGGTGGCCGTCACTCCCACCCGCACGCCACCCCATCATAAAGATCATCTCTCCCCTAGTGAGAACCGCATCGAATACAGCGTCGACGACGACGACGACGACGGCGACGACGGATGTGCGATCGAGTGGGCACGCGAGTGCTGTAACGGGCGGGACGAGTCGGGTCGGGCGGAAGTGGTTTTGCATGCATGCGCAGGAAAGGCTAGTCGGTGGAATCGGTGGATCGGGTCGCAACGGAAGGCATTTTGCATTGTAAAATACAAGGGATTCTGCACGCGTGCGCAGGAAGTGCAATTTTTTGTAGTAGATGGAGCGGGTTTCCATAAGAGGGGCGCACTTTGTGTTGTTAAAAATGTGAGATTCTGCACGCATGCGCAGGAAATGTTTTTTTTTTTGAGTACATGGGGCCGGGTCGCCACGGGGACTGGGCTTTTTGTGATGTAAAAAATTTGAAATTCTGCACGCATGCGCAGGAACTGTTACTTTTTGCAGGAGATGGAGCCGGGTTGCATGGTGGCCGCTTTTATGGTAATTAGGGCTTAATAATTATAGGATTAAGAATTTAAGAATTTAGGCTTCAGGGTAGTAGTAGTAGTAGTAGTAGTAGTAGTAGTAGTAGTAGTAGTAGTAGTAGTAGTAGTAGTAGTAGTAGTAGTAGTAGTAGTAGTAGTAGTAGTAGTAGTAGTAGTAGTAGTAGTAGTAGTAGTAGTAGTAGTAGTAGTAGTAGTAGTAGTAGTAGTAGTAGTAGTAGTAGTAGTAGTAGTAGTAGTAGTAGTAGTAAGAGTAGTAGTAGTAGTAGTAGTAGTAGTAGTAGTAGTAGTAGTAGTCGTAGTCGTAGTCGTAGTAGTAAGAGTAGTCGTAGTAGTAGTAGTAGTAGTAGTAGTAGTAGTAGTAGTAGTAGTAGTAGTAGTAGTCGTAGTAGTAGTCGTAGTAGTAGTAGTAGTAGTAGTAGTAGTAGTAGTAGTCGTAGTAGTAGTAGTAGTAGTAGTAGTAGTAGTAGTAGTAGTAGTAGTAGTAGTAGTAGTAGTAGTAGTAGTAGTAGTAGTAGTAGTAGTAGTAGTAGTAGTAGTAGTAGTAGTAGTAGTAGTAGTAGTAGTAGTAGTAGTAGTAGTAGTAGTAGTAGTAGTAGTAGTAGTAGTAGTAGTAGTAGTAGTAGTAGTAGTAGTAGTAGTAGTAGTAGTAGTAGTAGTAGTAGTAGTAGTAGTGGTAATACAGCTGAATACCTACATCTACAGCTACATCTACATGTACACATGCATCTACATCTACATCTGCATCTACAACTACATTCACATCTACATCTACACCTACATCTACACCTACATGTACATCTACATCTACATCTACACCTACATCCATATCTACACCTACACCTATGCTAAGCTAAGCTATGCTCGATGCTATAGCGAGCATCAGTACGTTACTAAGCAAAGCTACGCTTCAGCACTTCTTGCACTAGGTTCAACACTGCTCGCGGCTCCTGCAAGAGCTGCAGGTTGTTCAGCACTGCTTGCGGGGGCTCCGGTCTTGCCATCGAGGCTAGCTCGGCACCTGCCGCACATTGCTTTTGCCTTGCCTTTCCTTTGCTGTTGCTTTTGCTTTGCTTTGCGTTGATTGTGCTTTGCTTTGCTGTTGCTGCTGTTGCTTTGCCTTCGTTTTGATGCTATGCTATGCTATGCTGCGCTATGCTATGCTATGCTATGCTATGCTCCGCTATGCTGCGCTAATGCTATGCTATGCTAGGGTATGCTAGGCTGCGCTATGTTATGCTAGGCTATGCTCTGCTATGCTATGCTGCGCTATGCTAGGGTATGCCATGCTATGCTGCGCTATGCTATGCTAGGCTGCGCTATGCTAGGCTATGCTATGATATGCTATGCTGCGCTATGCTATGCTATGCTGCGCTATGCTATGCGATGCTATGCTGCGCGATGCTATGATATGCTATGCCATGCTATGATATGCTATGCTATGCTATGCTGCGCGATGCTATGTTATGCTATGCTATGCTATGCTATGCTATGCTGCGCTGTGCTATGTTACACTCAGCGATGCTATGATATGATGTGTTATGCAATGCTATGCTATGGTATGCTGCGCTATGCTATAATATGTTATGATATGCTTTGATATGCTATGCTATGCTGCGCTATGCTATGATGCGCTATGCTAATGCTATGCTATAATATGATATGCTATGCTATGCTATGCTATGCTAATGCTGCGCTAAGCTAAACTAAGCTGAGCTAAGCTCAGCTAAGCTCAGCTAGGCTAAGCTAAACTAGGATAAGCTCAGCGCAGCTAGCTAAACTAGGCTAAGCTAAGCTAAGCTAAGCTAAGTTAAG